GCGAAGTTATAGATAAATTTGTAGATATATTCGCAGCCTTGATAGTAGATGTAGGTTTGGATGTATTTCCAGATGAAGCACTAGTTTTAAACATAGTTGTTAGTTCAGTTGCATTTACATTTGCAGATGTAGGAGAAATTGACGGTTTATTTAAAGTGGCGTTAGAAGATGATGTGAAATTAGTTATAGGTACTTGAATAGTTGTAGGCATATTTTTTTGAATGGCAATAGATGGTGAAGTAATGTTAGGTGCAGATGTTGGTGTAGTTGGAGGTGATTCTGTTTGTGAATTTCCAGATATATTTGTATTCATAGATCCAAATATAGGAGAAATTGAAGATTCACTTGAATCGCTAACAGTTGGCGATATGTCATTATTTCTAAATGTTGGAATAATATCATTTATAACTTGTTTATCCATAGGTTTATCGGCTATTAGAGGTAAAACTTTAGGTAAATCTTCATCTGAAGGTGTAGGTATAGTAGTTGATGCTATCTTTGATGTAGAACTTGGTGTTGGAGTAGTAGGAGACACATCTCTTTGTGAGATTTCAGGTTCAATGGCTTTTAGAGCTGCAGGTTTAGGTAAATTTGGATCTGAATGTATAGACACAATAGTTGATGTTAACTTTTGTGTAGATCCTGGTGTTGGGGTAGTAGATTCAATTGAAGTATTTGATGTAATTTCAGTTGTAGTTGTGGAGTTTATTGTAGTGGTAGGTAAATTAGTAGTAGCGTTTGGTTTTATTTTAATAGTTTCGATTGAAGCACGATCAGATCCATTATCAGATGAACTACCAGGAGTTAATCGTTTAGATGGATTACAGCTTTCTGAAGTTTTCGAATCACAAGAATCGTTTTCTTTCTTATTGATTTTTGAACAGTCTAAACTAGAAACAAACGTATTCATATCATTTAGTGTACAGTTTTCAGAAATTTCTAAATTTTCATCAAATATCATTTGTTCATTAATCCATTTTTTTTTTTCAAAATTGCTTTTATTTTCATTTAACCAATTACTGTACTCTATACATTTCTCTTCTGTCACATTTTCATTTAATTCTTGTAAACGTTCTTCTTTATCTTCACAAAAATCTTCCATAACTTTTTTTTTATCTCTTACATCTTTCTTATTCTTATTCTCTATTCTTTTACATGAATCATTGAAGGATGCTTTTAATTTTTCAACTACACTATTATGAGTATCTGCCCAATGTTTATTAATATCTCCCAATAAAAGTAATTGTTTTCTTAAAGTTGTTGTGAAATAATCCCTTCTCTCATCAACCCAATAATTCAAATGCCTGCAGAGTCTCCTTTTCATTTTCGGAGATTTTTCATTTTTAATTTTGCTAATTCTGAAGTCAACACCATTAGAGAATCTTTTCCTCCAATCTTTAAGTAGTCCCCGTTGCAATGTACCAGATGCCAATGGTCCGGATATGTGTCTACGTTTTCTTATAAGTGGTTCTTTTTCTGTATCCATTATATATTAAATTATAATTATTGTTGCATGTTTTATTAGTTTTTTTTAATAAATAATTAAAAAAAACAATCACGTATATATTTATGTATGTCTTCAAATGAATGTTTCATATTATGATAACATAAATATTAAAATTAAGACAACATAACGGTCATATTAATAAAAAATGAATAATTATTTATTTTCACTATTACACTGAATTCCATATATTATTGCATATTAATTAAATTTAATTAAATTTTTAATTCAATTTTAGTTTTTATAAGATTTCTTCATATCTTTTAAGTCACCAATATATTGCATATAATGTTTCTATATTTTCAAAATAAAAATAAACATTTTATAATGAAAGCAAGCTTTTAATTTTCACCTATGGTATTTTATATTAATATAGTTATTTTTAGATAAAAATAATATATCTAATTAAATAAAAAAATGGAATAATAATTAAAATTATAATGCAATATAACAATTGAAATTAAAAAATTAAGAGAAAAAAAAATATAATAATTTTCCATTTATAAATTTAACATATTTTCTTATTATTTTATATTATTGAATAACATATTTTTAATTTATAGTGTAGAACAATTAATATTTAAATTTTTTTTTTAAATAATTAGTAAGAAAGTGCCATTATTTATTACTAAAAAAAAATTTTCTTTTCTAATAAATTTTTTAGGAAAATTTAAATTATTTTTATTTTAATAATCATGAAATATATAAGGAATAAAAAATTTCAAACTTAATTGTTTTAAGCAAAAAAAATATATAAGAAAACTAGTGTAATTATGCATGAGTTTTTTGTAATTATTTAAGCATTATTTATATGAGTTTTTATTTAGTTTTAATTCAATTATTTCAGAAATTACTTTACTCTAGTTTTTTCATTTTTTTTTTTCTCTCTTATATCTCTATTTATTATAATAACTTTTACACTTTTTTTTAGATTATCATTCATCAATTTGAAACTTGACTTTTTTTATGGTGCTCTAAATAGTAGAAATAGTAAAAAGCTGAAATAAAAATTCCCTTTGTTTTATTTACTGCAAAATAATTTATAGATAAATATATATCTTTTATATAATTATACCATATAAAATAAAATATAGTAATAAAATTTTATATCTTTTAATCAAAATTTTTATTGCTCATATAAAAACTATTATCTGCTATTTTTAAAACTTAAATTATTAATACATTAATGTTACATTAAAATAGAAGTTATTTTTTTTTATTATTTTTTTATTCAAAAAAAAAATTATCTTTTTTTTAAACATAAACATTATACCGACATTCCATTATAACCATTTTATTAAGAATATCTTCGTGCATGTACCTTTTTAATCATATTATATACGCACCTTTTGAATATGTTTGCATGCAGTGGCAATCTCTGTACATAGTACACTTTTACCATATTAAAATATAAAAAGCGTTAGTTATATATTTTATTAGCTATTTAGAACATTTAAGTTCTTAAAATAAAATTTATACTCTTTTAAATATTCATTTAATATATACATAGATAAATTTTAAAAAATAACGTAAAATCAATTAAAACAATAATTTTTAAAAAAAATAAAAACTGGTTCATTAAATTATGAAAGTATAAAATAATGAAATTTATATATTTTTCTGAAGAAATAATAATGTAAATTATAACATATATGAGATTAACTTAGAAAAAGTACGCGCATAATTAACCTGAAAAAGAAAAAGAAAAAAATTATGATTCCTTTATTTTTCATTCTAACTATGATTTTTATTAAAATATATAGTAAAACAAGTTTCAAAAAAAATTGCAATTCATTTATTTTTTTATATTTTATACATGTGAATTAAATTTATAAACAATACATAATATCATTTTAATATAAAAAAAAGTAAAAGGCTAATTTTTATATATTTAAAATATATTCATATAATTGTAGTTTTAGAAACATAAAATATTTAAATTTATTTAACGTGTAATATATTATTATATTTTTAAAGACATATCTCTATTTTTTTATTAATAATTAGATATTCTTTAACAAAATAAGTAAAAAGAAAAAAAAAATAAAATAAGGGTATTTCATTCTTATGTATATATTGTTACTCTGTCATAAATAATTTTAATTTGATATGTTCGTAAATTCTCTAGACTTAATTTTATTAGTTTTTTTGTTCAATTTTCTTTTTTTTAACTTTGTTTTTATGTTTATTTTACAATATTTATACTTTCATTTATGTTTATTCTTTTTTCATTTAATTTCAACAATTTTTTTTTCATTTATAAATAGAAATTTTTTATCATTATTTGTTTTATTAATTTTATGTTAAATGAATTTGTAATATTGAACAAATTAGTTAACAAGAGGAATGTAGAAAAAACTCTATTTTATTGAATGAAAAAATAAAATAATACTCAATTTATTTAATATAGTAAATGTTAAATTTAAATTTATTATTCTATTTATTAAGTTAATTTATTCAATAGTTTATAAAATATAATAATAAATGTTACAGTTTTAACTTTTTAACTAAAATATTACACGAGATACATTCAAAAAAAATGTTATTTTTTTTTTTTAAATTTCGTCCAAAAAAAAAAAATATATATGTAAAATAAAAAAAAAAAATTTTAAGTAATTAATTTTATTGAGCAAATTTAAATATACACATTTTTTCCGCATATACAGTATGCACATATAATAGTATATTTATTTTATTCATTTGTATATTATTTAAAATAGACTAATAATAACATTTATAGAATATAATAGATCACCTTTGAAAAAATAATAATAAAAGCAAATATGAAGTTTCTACTTTAATATATTATATTCCAAAAAAAAAAAAGGTTACGGTACATTTTGCCTAATGTATAACATTAAAGGTT